ACAATAATCATTTATTAAAAACAATGAACAAACTATCTATTTATAATATACATAAACACCTTGGACATATAAGTTACAATTATATTAAACAATTATTAAAGACACAACCAAGTGTACTATCAACTAAAATAACAAACTACAAAGAAAAAGAATGTATTGAATGCATAAAAGCAAATATTGAATGTACACCAATACCAAAACTATGTCAATCTCCTCTTGCAAATCAATTTGGAGATCTTATTCATATTGATATCATTGGTCCTATTAAACTGCACACATATAAGAACATACACTACTTATTAACGATTGTAGACAATTCTACTTGTTGGTGCATAATGCTAAAATTACAAACAAAATCTGATACATATACACAATATGTATGATGGACAACCAAAATATTTACACAGTACAGAGTTAAAATAAAGCTTTTACAAAGTGATAATGATACTGTATTCCTTAGTAAAGATTTCCAACAATATTTAGATTCACAAGGAACAAAACAAAGATTAACAGTACATCATACTCTACAACAGAACAGAATAGTGGAACAAACTCATAAAACTATATTTAGAGGTGTAAGAGCATATCTAACATTTACTGAATTACTGTTTACATTATGGGCCAAAGTAGTAATTCATATTACCTATATTCATAATAGAACACTGTGTGCTACTTTAAATTACAATACCCTACATTACAAACGTTATGGAACACACAGAACAATTGATAATATATACAAATTTGGTCAATATATTATCATTTGCAACGAAAATCCTACAAAAATACAACAGCAAGGTATCATTGCTTGTTGGATAGGATTAGACAATGAAAGTAAAGGCCATAAAACTTGGCACAATAATAAAATTACTATTGAACAAAATATTCAATTTCTCAAAGGTAAACCTCCTCAAATTGAAGGGGAGAAAATAGACAATACAAGCAACAATACAAACAAGTGTTTAATAATTAAAAATAACGAAACAGACAATAGAATAATGAGAACAGATGACAATGATACAGACAACACTGATA